GTTCTGTACATAGAGAGAACGAGTACATATACATAAAATAAGAGAATATGTACATGTGTAAATATAAAGTAAGTATAGACCATCAATAAGCATTTATTAAAATGCTTACTACATGCCATGGACTATGCTAGGTACTGGTCATACAGATAAATTATAGAAGCATGTTGAAGTCCATCCATTTCCCATTTTGGACTACATGAAGCAAAATAATATTAGGGCAGTACTTAGTCTGAAGTCCTTGGTCTAATCTGAATGGGAAACTTTTATTAGTCTTTCTTTAACTAATAGTTCAAAACAATGTTCTGATCTGAAATCTTTTTACATCATTCTTATCCAGGCCCAACCAGTTTCTAAAAGGATAGGCCTATTCAGGCTAGGAAGGACTCCTTGCTAAGTGATCAGGGTCTATGAACTGATTAGGATCACACTAACAGAAGAAAATAGTATTTGATTAATTAAATTAATAGAAGTATCTCTTGAGTTCACCTTTGACCAGGCTGAAAGAAGAATAGTTTGAGGGAACAGTTAAAGAGGGATTGAATTGTTTTAAGAAAATGATTCTGAAAAATCACCCATAGCTAAGTGGCTATTGTTCTGTTTCATGAATCAAAACTGTTACCTGAACTTTTCTCTACTTTTGTTACTATTTTTTTTAATCTAATTGAGAAATTTTATCTTTTTACTTGGTAACACTATAAATTGTGAGCTAAAATGGCTTGTGTCAGAGAGATTTTCAAAGGCATGATAGATGCCTGTCCCTTTGGGTTTTGTCTCTAAGCAGAGATGCTTAGAATTACTTAATTAACAAATCCATCTCTGGCAGGCTTATGCCCAAAACAATGAGTACATAATTTTTCTGCTATACAGTTAATTAATTAATTTTTCTTCCATCAATGTATTCAAAACAAATAAAAGTTAAATTTTTTTGGAGGGGGGAAGGCTTCTGACTGAGGGGAGGGGATCAGGAAGGGCCTCATGGAGAAAGTAGCATTTGAACTAAGCCTTAAAGGAAACTACAGAGGTGGAGGTGAGAAGGAAGTGATTCTAGGCAGGGCATGATGGCCTGTACAAAGACAAGGAGGTGGGAGAGGGTATGTCATGAGTAAGGAATAATAAGCAAGTCAGTTTGACTGGACTTGTAGAATATGTTGCTGTTCAGTCATTTTCAGTCATGTCTGACTCTTTGTGACCCCATTTGGGGGTTTTCTTGGCAAAGATACGAAAGTGGTTTGCCATTTCCTTCTCCAGCTCATTTTACAGATGAGGAAACTGAGACAAAGAGTTAAGTGGCTTACCCAGGGTCACACAGCTAGTAAGTGTCTGAGGCCAGATTTGAACTCAGGAAAATGATTCCTGATTCCAGCCTAGCATTCTATCCACTGTACAACCTAGCTGGCCTGTAGAATGTATAAGGACAAGTGATGTATAATAAAACTGGAAAGGCAGGTTGGAAACAGGATGTGAAGGGTTTTAAATGCCAAACAAAGGACTTAGTATTTAATGCTAGAGGTTCACTATTAGAATTTCATGAAGGAAAGGCAGTAAGTAGGCTGGAGTAATAGTCAAGGAAAGCTGCATGCAAAGAGTGAAACAAGTGAGGCCTTAAAGGATGGATAGGGTTCAAACTGACAGAGAGGAAGATGAGGAAACAGCATGAACAAACACATGCCTTCCCTCTGCCACCCAGAGAGTAAGCTTTTTGAGGTCATCGCTGGCTGAGACTTTTCTTTCCACATCTCTCACAGTACCTAGAACACTACTAGGCATATAGTAGGTACCTTCAAAATGATACCTGTCTTACAGAATTTCCCTCTCTAGTATAAACAAAGAGGTGCCTGAGACGTAGAATGTTCTTCCCTGCTTAAAAATAGACTCAGAATGACCGATTTTGATAGACTTAGCTCTTCTCAGCAATGCAATGATCTAAGACAATTCCAAGGTACTCATGATGAAAAATGCGGTCCACATCCAGAGAAAGAACTATGGAGTCTGAATGCATATTGAAGCAAACTATTTTTCTCTCTTTTTTTTTCTTTCCTGTGGTTTTTCCCTTTTGTTCTGACTCTTTTTTCCACAACATGACTAATATGGAAATATGTTTAATATGATTATACATGTATAGCCTATATCAGATTGCTTGCCGTCTTGGGGAGGGGGGAAGGAGAAAAAAATTTGGAACTCAAAATCTTGTAAAAGTGAATGTTGAAAACTATCTTTGCATATAATTGGAAAAAATAAAACACTGTTAAGTGAAAAAAGAATAGAATCAGAGTTTGGAACTCAAAGTTACAAATATTGTTAAAAATAAATAATAATAATTTTTAAAAGATGGTAATTCCAATAGTACAGGAGAGAAGTGATGGAAGTAGAATCAGGATGGGGTTCCTGTGAATGGAGAGAAGGGGTAGGTTCAAAAGATAGTTGAGATATACTTAACAAGACTTGGAAATGATTAGATGTGGGGGTGAGTGAGAGTTTAGGAGCCCAGCTGACTTCATTTCCCATTAGCTGTATTTTGGATTCCACTCCACCATCATTACCACTTTAGCTTCCTTTTGTGCGTGGTCTTCCTCAATTAGATTGTAAGCTTCTTGAGGGCAGGGACTGTCTTTCCTTTCTTGCTTGTATTCCCAGTGCTTAGCATAGTGCCTGGCACATAATAGGCACTTAATAAATGTTTTTTTGTATTTCATCTTAAAAAATATAGTATCAGCCATTCTCTTTCAGTAGTACCTAGAGCTAGGGGGATGAACTAGGTGCCATATGGTCAAAGAATGATATAATTGTATGAGATTTTAGAACATAGAATGTCCATCAGAGCTGGAAGGGACCTCAGAGCATAAAATGTAAAATGTTAGAACATACAATACCAGAACACAGAACATAGAACATTAGAGCTAAAAGGGACTTTGTAAATTATTTAGTCCAAGGGTTTTTAACCTGGGGTTAAATGGATAAATTTCAGGCAATTCATAAAGTTAGATGGGAAAAAAATTACATCTTTTTTTTTAACTAACCCCTAATTATAATTTAGCATTTCCTTCAATTACGAATGCAGGCAACAAATATTACTCTGAGAAGGGGCCCTCAGGCTTTCCTAGACTGGCACAAAAAAAGGTAAAGAACCTCTGATCTAGTTCAATCCCCTCATTTTACAAATAGAAACTTGGACTTAGAGTCTCCTTTGGGTCCCTGTGTTTCTGCCAAAGATTAGGACTTTTAAAAATATGCACGTGCTTAGGGTTCAAATCTCTAACTATCAATACCTTTCCCACTTACATCTCAGATCTTTTCAAATCTTATCGGATTTCCTTCCATGCTGAACCAGCCCTTTCTGAGAATTTTTAAAATTCAATGTCTCATTGGATCTGAGGTACCAGAGCAAGAAAAAGATGTGTCATCTCCTTCCATTTTCCTCATGTAAAAGCTACCCAAACAATGGAATTTGACATTTCCCCAAAGAAATTAGCAGTCCAGTAGCAAGTGATTCTGGGAAGCTCCAGTCTGCAACGGAGAATATTATTTGAGGTTACAAAATCAGACCCGAATCAGCCCATTCAATAAGAAAAGTGGGAATTTCACATTAACTGGGGCCACTCTTTTCCCCTTACTAAGCCTCAGTTTCCTCATTTTTAAAACGAAGATGTTGGACTAGATTACTCTGAGGTCTCTTCCAGCTCTAAATCACTCAGATGCTACAATCTCTGACTAATTGGATGTACACGTATATAAACAGGGTCTCAGTGAGGAATGCTAACTAATATTTATTCCACTTCCAATAAGTAAATGGCAAAGTAACACAGAAAGGAAAACGTTGGCTAAGGGGAAAGACTTGGTGTGTGTGTGTGTGTGTGTGTGTGTGTGTGTGTGTGTGTGTGTGTATAACATGCAAGGAACGGAATTGTCAGTGAGTCTTATAAATACTCAAGGCAGCTCTGGCATGAACCACCATGGCATTTATTTCAAAGCAATTTAGCCACTGGGATTCCCAAGTCCCAAATCAAGGATGTTATTAAAAGGAAACCCTGCAAGCACCACAGGGGCTCGTTGGCACACCAGGCACACCTTGGCCACAGAGCTGGGCTTCCCTTTTCCTCTCTTCTCATCCTTCCCAGGGACAATCTCCATCCCCGGCTCCCACGGTGGCCACTGGAACCTTTGCCAAAGCATGACTGTAATTTGGCTGTTGGCATATTGTGTAATTAGATGTGGCCCTTTGGGAGTCAGGAGACATGAGAGGAGATTCCAACCTCTTGTTATTTGTCAAAGGAAAGGATGTATATATATTTTAACAGCGTAAGTTTTTTTTTTTTTTGTTAAGCTAGAAGGGGCCTTGAGGTCATTTTATCCATCTCCCTTATTTTACAGGTGAGGAAATTGAGGTTCAAAGAGGGTCTCCAGTGAATTAGTAGCAGAACTAGGACTAGAATTCAGTTCTCCAGATTTTTCTTAAATGAAACACCCTGAGTGGAGCCTCTCTGGGAAGTACATTGTACCTGGGCCTTAAAGGCCCTGACGATAAGACCAGAGGATGGCTCTAGAATCAGACCAAGAGCTCAAACAGATCTCAAATGCCATCAGGTCCAATCTGATCATTTTACAGATAAGGAAACTGGGAGGGAAGGAGATGGAGCGACTGATGTACCCAAAGTTGAACCCAAGCCCTCTGGCTCTAGCACCAGAGGTCTTTCCCACGGAACCCAGGACACAAAGATTCAACTGCGGTTTCTAGGTTAACCAGATAGGACAGATGCAACCAACGCAGAGCCTTTCGAGGAGAGTTTGCCGACAAACTCAGCTTCATTAGGGAAAGAAGTTTCAGAGAGTTGAGCTTGGCTTGAGCCCACACCAAGCCATGTCAGCCCAGGACCCACAACCCACAGGCTGAGGGCAACTCTCCTGGTCCTGTCATCTGGATATTGGGGGAAAGAGAGGGGCTTCATTTCTTCTCTGGGATTCCAGTCTTTAGTTCTCCCTCCTCATTGGTCTCTCCTTCACAGGTCTTCCAGCGTAGGGAGGATGGTTCTGTCAACTTTTTCCGAGGCTGGGAGGCCTACAGGGATGGCTTTGGCAAACTCACTGGAGAACACTGGTTAGGTATGTATCCCTTATGCACCTCCTGCATCATCATTAACCCATGTCATTTCACTCTCAGGGGTCCTGTACTTTCTGAAGCAGCAAAAATTCAATTGTTAGTTGACTAAATGAATGAATTCATGTATGAATGGATGAGAGTGATAAAAGTCCCTTACATGTATACAAGGCTTTATAATTTTCAAAGTGTTTTCATGAAAAGGATTTTAAATGGTACTTTCAGGTACATTATGGAGTAGGATGGGAAGGTATTGTTATCCCCAAATAAGAGATGAAGAAACTGAGGCCCAGAAAGGTCATCCAGTGAGTCTGCAGCAGAACCAGGACAAGAAGCCAGGATAGCTTCCAAAATCTCTCAGTTCTAAAGCTACCATCCAGTGATCTCCTAACTCCCAGACTAATGGTTTTCCCATGCTGTCACCCTATTGTATGTGTAGGTCTGAAACCTTCCTTTTGCTGAATAATAATATTACTAATAACTGACATTTATATAGCCCCTTTAAAGTTGGCACAACACTTTTCATCAAAAGTCATTTAAAGTCTGTTAGATGTAAAGGAGAGTACTCACAAACGCTAATATATGAAAGGAAAAAGGAGAGGGGGAGTGAAAGAATGGAAGGTCAAGAACTGTGCCCCCACAACAGGGGCTCCTGACATCTCTCTCCTGCCTTTAAGCTTTTGAGAGATGGTAGTGGTGGTAACCAGTAAGAAAGAGCCTCCTCATGGGAGGGGGCCCCTAGATTGTTGTCATACTCCTGTATCCATCCACAAATATTTGTTGTTCTTTAGTTGTTTAAGTCGTGTCTGACCCTTCATGACCCCATTTGGGCTTTTCTTGGCAAAGATACTAGAGTGGTTTGCCATTTCCTTCTCTAGCTCATTTTACAGATGAGGAAACCGAGGGAAAAAGGGTTCAGTGCCCAGGGTCACACAGCTAATAAGTGTCTGAGGCCAGATTTGAAGTCAGGACTTACTGACTCCAGGCCCAGTGGTCTAGCCACTGTGCCACCTAGCTGCCCCCAAAACATTTGTTAAGCCCCTACTAAGAGCCCAACAGGAGGTCCATAGGTATAAAACAATTCTGGCCTTCAAAAAGCTGATGGTCCATTTGGGGAGATAGGGGATGAATATCTGACAAGTTAAATAATAAAACAAAAATGATCACAAGGCCATACCTAATTAATTTCCAAATAGGTAGCAAAGACCATGAAAGACAGTAATGGATAGAGAGCCAGGTCTGGAATTGAGGAGGATCCAGGTTCACGTCCTCCCTCTGATGCATATTACCTATGTGACCTTGGGCAAGTTACTTAACAACCTTAGTTTCCTATAAAATGATGGGGCAGGATTAGAAGGCCTCTAGAGCTACAATTCTATGATCCTGTGTGACAGGCAGTGTGGTACAGTGGATAGTCAGGAAGACCTGGGTTCAAGTCCTGCCCCTGCCATGGACTGGCTGTCTGACCCCAGACAAGTCATTTACCTTTCAGTTCCCACCCTGAGGCAACCATCTGAGATTTTTAAGCTGTGGAACCATTGCTTATCTGCATTAGATCTGCAAAGTGTCTTTCTCTGAAGTTCAGTCCTCTAATGAAAGATGGGGTCAAAGTCACAACATAGACCATAAACCCAAACAAGTTCAGAAGAGGATAGGATCCATCCGTGTGGGCTGGAGTGGTGGTCTAAGAAGGCTTTCTGGATGAGGTGGGCTATGATCTGGGCCTCAAAGAAAGGGTAGTCATTGGAGAGGCCAAGAGAAGGACACTGCGCATTGTGGATCCCAGAAAACATATAACTCAGGGGTTCTTAACCTTTTTTATGTAATAGACCCCATGAGTAGGCTGGTGAAGCCTATAGAGGTCATCTCAGAACAATGCTTTAAAATACATAAAATAAAATATACAGAATTACAAAGGAAATGAATTATATTGGAGTACAATTATAAAAATGTTTTTAAAAACCCACATTTGTGCTATAGTAATATAGCTAAGAGTGGATGTAATAACTAAAGTAATTGGAAATAGTGATGTACATAAATGATATTTCAAGATATCTACAATAACTGTAATAGGATATGAAAATACCTCTGATTTCTATTGGTGACAATAGCACAGGCACTGCTGTTACTACTGTGGTTTGTTGCCTATGCTCATAACTAAACGAAATGCTAAATTTCAGATACAGGTAGTTAAAAATAAAAATAATTTCCCCCCCTGAGTTCATGAACCCCCTGAAACCTATGAATCTCAGGTTATGAACCCCTGGTATAAGCAAAGTCCTGCAGGCAGGAGAGGTGAAATTGTGGGGCAGAAGAACAAGGAATGAACAAGGAGACCTGGTTGACTTGGTGGGCAGGCTTCTACAAAGGAATGCAGGAGATAGAGAGGAGAGGAGAGGAGAGGAGAGGAGAGGGGAGGGGAGGG